AGACTGGCACCTGTGAAAAAGACTATGGCAATAAGGCTCACTAAGTTTTTCACTCTGAAAAAATGGCACCCGTCAGCTGGAGAATAAAAGAGAGTTTAGTTTTTGACAAAGACAAGGACTTCAATTTTATACATGCTAAAGTTGATATGTCTGTAAAATATCCATGTAGATTATAGTAAACAGACAGTTGTGAGGTTTAGAGTTATAAATGTGAGATTCTGAGTTATCACAGCTGCTCTGAATGTAGTAATAACAAGAATGAGTTCTCAAGGATTTCAAGCTTCTGTGTCCATGCACATGTAGCTCACTGACAACCATGCCCATTTTCTAACAACAAAATGGTTTCTGTGGTAATCCCAGAACTCCATGAGGTTGAGACAGGAGGATCTCTAATTCCAACCCAGCCTGGGCAATTTAGCAAGGTGTTAGAAAAGTGTGGCTTTCCGGTTAACTAGTGATATCAACACTATTTACAAGGAGCTCCCAAGTGTAGGACCTAGATATTGATGCTGAAATTGGCAAACAAAAGAATGGTCCTATTTGAAAGGATCTGCCTCTAGGAGCCCCCCCTCCCCAGAACTGGTCAAAGAAAGCCATTCAGAACTAACTAAACTTCTGAAAATTTCCAGACTAGGTTACAAGAACAAGAAACAATGGGCAAATGAGAGGTTACTCTCTTAACTGACATGAGTTTCTCCATGCTTACTATAAACTTTTAAGTAGTAATTCAACTTATTCAAATACATGTTAATATGCTGTTAGCATATGGGACCAAGTTGAAGTGGGGTTCTGGGGGCATGCCTTTGGAGAGCATCACTCTCGCTGGCATGCTTCCCCTGCCTGTGCTTGCTTCCCACGAAGTAAGCAGCTTTGCTTTACCATACCCTTCTGCAGAGATGTTTCTGTTTTAGTCAGCTGACCATGAATTAAAACTTGTGAAACTGTTAGCCAAATAAACCATTTTCTCTTTTAAACTGTGCTACGTCAAACATTTTGTTCCACCAACAGGAAAGCTGACTAATATATATGTTTTTTGGTTCTTACCTTTCTGGCTTCTTTACTGTGAATTCTTTGCTTTCTACTATACATTTTCTATAAAATCTTGACTAGTTTTATGGGAGATGACCAATCATAAAATCATAGAGATCAAGAGACCAGTATCCCAGTATCTTTTTTTTTTTTTAGCATATTAGGCAAGTGCTCTACCACTGAACTATACCTCTAGTCCCCAATCTCTTCATTTTATATAGGCAATCCAAGTCCAGAAACAATTTCTATTTAAAGCCACACACAACTTGTTAGTGGCAAAATCTACATTAGTGTTTGCCATGGTTTGATAATGGTTTATCTAAAACTCAACTTGAAATTTATTTCTAAGGTAACAGTGTCAAAAGGTGGTGGGGACTTTTAGGTAATTAAGAAAGATTAATGCCTTTCTCATAGGACTGGATTATAGTTACCTGGTGGGGGAAGGCAGACTTTGCTTCTCCCACATATATCCCTTTACCTTACTTCTGAGTTAAAAGTAGCACAAAGCCCTCACTAAAAGCTGATCAGATGCTAGCACCATATTCTTGGCGTTTTCAACTTCCAGAACCATGAACCAAATTACTCTTCTATTTTTTATGAATCACTCAGTCTCAGATATTCTATTACATTAAGGGAGTATTTATGTTTCCTCCTTTCCTCCTGGAACAAAATTTTTTCTATATTTCCAGTACTAGAGATAAAGATATTGTTGATATTGAAGAAATGAAAAACTTCTGGCTTAATTATAAGCTCCTCAAAAGAGAAGACTGTATCTAATTGAATGTTTAAGCCTCAGAACCTAGAATACTGTAGTTCCTGGCATATAATAAATATAAGTGGGTGTTTACCAAATGATTAGTTATTTAAACATGAGTTATTTTATCAAAAAGAATTATCTGGAAAGCCTATTTCTAGTTCCTTCTCCTCTTCTTCTCCTCCTCCTCCTCTTCCTCTTAGGTTTGTTGAGACAAGGTCTCCTTATGTAATACAGGCGGGCCTTGAACTCACTATATAGCTCAGGTTAGCCTTGAACTTGCGGTGATCCTCTTGCCTCAGCCTCCCATGCTGGGACTACAGGCATGTACCACCACGCCCAGTCTTCTGGCTCTTGATGAAACACAGAAAGGCAGTTAGAGTAAGCCTGGCATAGGGCCGGGGATTTAGCTCAGTGGTTTTTGCCGCCTGCTGCGCAAGCACAAGGACTGGAGCTCGATCCCACGTACCAAAAAAAAAAACATTTTGTTGGGGATTTAGCTCAGTGGTTCCACCCCCTGCCTCGCAAGTGCAAGGTCTTGAGTTCAATCCCTGGTACCAAAAAAAACCGCAAAAGAGTAGGCCTGGTGTTAAAGAGCATGAAAATGACCAAAAACATTTCTCTAGCTTAAAGTTAATATGATTTTTAAAAATTCATCCAGCTCCAAATAAAAATAAGAATGAGGATATCCTTCCTCCTTCTTTCTAGAAATTCCATTCACTGGAAGCACACATTCCTGGAAGAAGCTAAGTGCTTCAAGCTTTAACTCATTTCACTTAATCCTAAGAAAAGTAACTCAGAGAGCTTACAAATGGAGGGAACCAAAAGAGAAAAATGACAGTAGGAAAGTGATCTAGTACAAATATTTTATGAAAAATCATCTGAAAAGCTATTCCTTCTTAGTTGTACACAGATACTCAATACACTATTCCAGTAAGAGTCTTGATAGTGCTCTTGCCTTACCCAGCTTACAGAAGATTCAGGATACTTGTGAAGCTAGAAATAAAATCCACTGTTAACTGAATTAAAACAGTTAGGAGTGGTGGTGCATGTCTGTAATCCTAGCACTTGGGAGGTAGAGCAGGAGGATCACCATGAGTTCAAGAAAAAAAAGAAATGTGGCCCCTAAATAATGGAATGTATCCAAGTTTAATCCAATATGTTTATATAAGAATTTTTAAAATAATACATCTTAGACTAAAATTATAACAAAGCACTACCACATAACATTAAGCAAGTCTTTTAACAGCTTTAATAAGAAGAAAAACTAGGAGCAGTGGTACATGCCTGTAATCCTAGCTACTCAAGAGGTCAAAGCAGCTGATTTGCAAGCTCAAGCCCAGCCTGACCAACTCAGCAGACCCTTCCTTGTCTCAAAATAAAAAAGACTAGGGATGTTAGAAATGTACCTCAGAGAGTGCCCCTGAGTACCATCCGTAATACCACCAAAAAAAAAACGAGAAAGGGGTGGGGGGAAGGACAAGGAGGAGAAGGAAAAATAGGTATCATGATTTTTTTACTTCATAGATAAAATAACTAAGGCTTGAGGAGGTGAAATGATTAATCTAGTTTTACAAAGTGCATTAAGTGATAAGGCCAAGACGAAACCTGAGTTTTCTGACTCACATCTGGAGTCTCTACATAAAATGACAAGGAATTTCCATAAGCCATCTAAAAGGGCTGTACAAAAATTTCAGAGGGCAATTTAATCATTAGAATGTTTCTATGAAATAAAACTGTAAAATGACAAAAAGAATTACAGTATACCCCCAAAAATTGCAGCTCAGTGTTTGCAGCCTCAGTTGTTCCTGGATTTTTCCTTAGACCCTAACTAATAATTGTTCACAGAAACCCTGCAATTTCATGGAAACCACAAATATCCTCTGCAATTATTTGTTTCTTGGCAGGCGGTTTCCAAGTAACCAATCCAATTATATAACTGAGGGAGATACAGCATTATTTAGGGTTTAAACTATAAAAATAGGCGTTTATAGGCATTTCAGGCCATATCTGAAATTCGTGGTTCTTCACAATTTGTGGGTGCTCTAAGAATATAACTCCTGGAAATTTCAGGGGTCCACTGTACTATGTATTTGATAGATTTTAAAGTCACATATGATGTATACACAAAGTATACGTAACAAATAAATACGAATACCATTGTGTCTACCTCCTTACTTGTATCTCATGTTTTCTTTAGGAAAAGTCTCAAAGCAATTGGTTTCTCAAAGCTCTATTTCCTTAGTGTTTTCCAACTTTGGCTTTAGTAAACCATGTGGGGTATGACTGTGACATAAGTGCATAAAATACAGGTTTTCTTGAGCCTCAATATGGAAATTCTAATTCACTAAGTACATATTCTGGGTTTTTTTGTCTTGACTGGGGGTAGGGGGTTGCTACAGATCTGAGGGCCTCCTCATACGTGCTAAGTACATGCTGTACCACTAAGCTACATCATCAGCCCCACTTTATGCTTTTATTCCCCTACATGCTGCTTTTCACAAGCACTTCAGATGTTCCTGATCAGCTATATTTGCGATACATACCAAGTAGAATTATTAAAAAGAAAAAAAGTGGGGCCGGGGATGTAGTTCAATGGTTCTGCTGCCTGCCTCACAACCATAAGGTCCTGAGTTCAATCCCCAGTACCAAAAAAAAAAAAAAGAAAAAGAAAAAAGTAACCTAAGAAAATATAAGAAATTAAAATCCAGGAACAAAGACTATGAATTTCATGTAAATCTGAAGCCAGAATAAAACAGAGATTGGGGACCTATTTGAACCTGTCTCCAAACTTGGCTGTCTTCGCCCCAGCTTTTCAGAAAACTGGTTTCCCCTCTAGCACTATATTATAGGACAGATATAAATGCAAAAAGTTTCAATTCAACATCTTGATTTTCTTAGCTTGAGTCTACTAAAACTCAGTAAATCCCAAAACACAAGACTAAGATTATAATGGATATTTAAGTGACAGCTTTCCCAAAATGCTAGGCAAAAACTAGGAAGGGAAGGGGACTTGGGGTGAGTAGGGATAGGGAAGAGTAGACTCTGCTCTATTAGAAGTCAACTGGTCTACTGCTTCCTTGGTAGAAGTCACAGAAAACAGCACTACTGAATGAAGTTTCTTCAAGAGATATTGAGAATCGTTCTCAAGAAGGATTCCTTTGCAAAAGATTATCATATATAATCATAATCATAATGGTAATAATCATCTACTTACAAACTGCCTCTTCTTGGAAGGCTCAACTCCTTCTGAAAAACAAAATTCCCATAGGTTAGAAATAAGGGCACATTTGAGTCCTGCAGGTCTGCCTACATAGTCTAGGAAATTTACAGCATTATCTTAATAATGGCAATGACAATATTTCTAAAGGATAACCTTCCCTTTGCCTCTAAAATTGAAGAGAAATAAAGAGCAGTCAGGATTATCTCTCTTTATTCTTTCCTAAAAAGAATGCCTGACAATACTTGCAATCTTTTCCCCACTAGATGGAACCATCTCCCCAATGCAAATTCTAGGCACTCTAGAGAAAGCCTTAACTACTGATGATCTGTAAAGAATTTATATCATCAGTGGCAAGAATATGAAAGAAATGAAATGGTGGGCCAGGGATTTAGCTTAGTGGTTCTGCTACCTGCCTCGAAAGCACAAGGTCCCGAGTTCAATCCCCAGCACCAAAAAGAAAAGCAATGGTATTGAGGATAATTAGAAAACATTTTAAATAACTACAAAAAATCTTAACAGAAAAGATGACTACATATACCACTAGTATGAGAAATAACCCTTACTATAACAGTGGGACCCCATGACTTGCTTTTCTAGGTAGGACACAGATCCAACTTCTACCAGTCCTCTCTTATAAATTTTTATAACTTAATTTTTCCCCACGTAGCTTCATTATTTATTATACAGTGGCACCTCAGTTCCTGAACTTAATTTGTTCTATGATTTTAGAAAAGATGGCCATGTTTACATTTGTCCATGGTCATGTTTGTCACCCAATGCAGTTTGTGAATAGAAACAAAAATTTGCCAAGCACTTCTGTTTGTGAACCAAAATTATTTGCAAACAAAAGCATTCATGAACCGAGGTACCATTATATACTGATAAATAATTATCAATATTACTTTACATGTTTTCAAATTACATAAACATGGTTATATATTATTTGCATCTGTTGACATAAAAGACATAAGTCAAAACCAAGAAAACTGATAGATTCATCCATGTGGATTATTTCCCCTCAGTTCATTAAACCTTAAGTAGTAATCCAGTCTAAAAATATGCCCATTAAAAAAAATAAAATAAAAAATAAAAATATGCCAATATTTATTCATTCACCAATAAATGGAAATTTAATTTTCTTTCAATGTTTTACTTCTCTATTAAAAACAATACTCCTAAAAATGTTCATTTACTTGTTTCCTAATAAACCCATATAAAAAGTTTCTTGGAAGTACACACTTGGAGGTGGAATTGCTACATCATGAAGTATATCAGATATTCCAAATTGCTCCCAAAACCATTGTACCAATTTACTTTCCTTTTCCAACACTTTGGTTTTTTTCCCAGACCTGACACCCAGATTCCAAACACTTATAACTAACTTCCTACTCAAGATGTCCTGGCCAACATGCCAAAAAGTAAACTCTTCTTTCTATGAAAACTTTCTCTGCACTCACAGCCTTTCTCCATCTCAATCAACGGTAACTCTGTTCTCTAAAAGTTCAGACGAAAACTCTGAACAGCTGGATCTCTGTTTTTTTCTATACCCCACCTGTCACCCACCAGTAATTCTTAAATGCTGTAAGTTTAAAATACATTCAGAATCTAGTCATTTTTATCTCCACAGACACATATCTCTGTAACAAAAATCTTGGATCCAGTTATGTTACAGAAACTGGAATTAACTATACGTGTATGTGTGTGTGCACATAAATATCGATAACACCCAATAAGGTCCAAGAAAAAAATTTTAAAAAAGGAACAAGGCTGGACAAATCATACTACCCAACTTCTAAATAAACTACAAAGCAATAACAACAAAGATGGTTCTAGCAGGGCCAGGGATTTAGCTCAGTGGTGCCGCCACCTGCTTTGCAAGCACAAGGTCCAGAGTTTGATCCCCGGTACCTCCCCCACAAATTTTTTTTAAAATGGTTCTAGCATAAAAATAGACACACAGACCAATGGAATAGAATAAGAAACTCCAAAATAAATCCACACAGTCAAATGGTTTTCAAAAATGAATGCAGGAAGAAACATCTAGGCAAGCATATTCTCTTTTTCTTTTTTCGTGCAGGGGATCGAACTCGGGACACCTTGCGCTTGCGAGGCCAGCGACAGAACCACTGAGCTAAATCCCCGGCCCGGGCAAGCATATTCTCTTCAACAAATGATGCCAGGATGTCCACATGTAGAGGAATGATACTAGACCTCTGTCTCTCATCATATACAAAAATCAAAGCAAAATGATTTTTAAAGACCTAAATGTAAAACCCCAAACTATAAAGCTAGTAGATGAAAATATAGAAGAAATGTCTGTAACATTGGTCTAGGCAAGGATACTTTAGACAAGGTACAAGCAGAAGCAGCAGAAGGAAAAAATACATACATAGAATCTATTTGAACTAAAAAGCTTTTGCACAGCAAAACAATCAACAGAGTGAAGAGACAACCTGCAGAATATTGACAAACTATATATCTGACAAAGATTTAATATTCAGAATATACAAGGAACTTGCTGGGTATGGTGACACATCCCTGTAATCTCAGCACTTGGGAGACAGAGGCAGGAGCATTGCCACCTGAGCTACATAGTGAGTTCAAAGCCAGCCTGAACTACATGACAAGACCCTGTCTCAAACAACCAAAAATCGAACAAATATACAAGGAAATCAATCAATGCAACAAAAAAAAGGCCAAGTAATTTGATTAAAATCTGATTTAAAATGAATAAACACCTCTCAAAGGGGATTACATGAGTGGCCGAGTATATGAAAAAATGTTCAACATTACTAATCATCTAGGAAATGCAAATCAAACTATAATAAGATATCATCCCACTCCAGTTAGAATGGCTATTATTAAAAAACAAATGATAACAACTGTTATCAATGATGTGGAGAATGAGGAATTCTTTTTTTGGTACCAGTGATAGAACTCAGGACCTTACACTTGTGAGGCAGGCAGTGGAACCACTGAACTAAATCCCTGGCCTGAGAATGAGGAACTCTTATTTGCTGTTGGTAAGAATGTAAATTAGTACAGCCCCAGGAAAAAAGTACAGAGGCACCTCAAAAAAAAAAAAATTAAAAATAGACCACGTGGTACATTCCTGTAATCCCAGCTACTCAGGAGGCTGAAGCAGGAGAATAACAAGTTCAAAGCCAGCCTTGGCAATGTGGCAAGATGCAGTGTCAAAATTTAAAGGGTCTGGGGACAGGGATTTATCTGTTTTTATTTGTTTATTGTTTTATTTTTTTTTTAGTACTGGGGATCGAACTCAGGACCTTGTGCTTGTGAGGCACGTGGTAGAACCACTGAGCTAACTCCCCAGCCCCCTCTTTTCTTTATATTATGATCTTTTTGTAAATGTCAGTCAGATTAGAGGGGTTTTTTTCCACAAATCAGTAACTTTTAATTGACATTTTTAAAGATTCAGCTTAATATTAAATGTGGGCAGGTTTTAACGTTCTAAAAATATTTTTAGGGGCCCAGTGCCCAGGAGGAGGCTCCCCAGCTGCCATTCCACTGATCCAAGGGCAGAGGAGGTGAGCCAATCCCAGTGCCCAGGAGGAGGCTCCCCGGCCACCATTCCACTGATCCCAGGGCAGAGGAGGTGAGCCAATCCCGGCACCCAGGAGGAGGCTCCCCAGCTGCCATTCCGCCTCTCCCAGGGCAGAGGAGGTAAGCCGCGTGGCACCAGCAGCAACCCCTCACCCCGTGGAAATGAGAAGACACGTAAACAAGCCTCAAAAACAGACTTCCACATCACCTACAGCAACCCCAAAGGGAAATGAGATGGAACAATCTGATACTCAACCACTTGGA